AGCCAATATATTGGGCGGGTCGCTCGATCGCACGCTGATCTACACCAACTCCCAAGGCAGAAATCGAGGCCTCTGCTGTGACCCAGATTTCTGCGCATTGGCGTGGCTGCCGACAGCGGCGGAGGCACGTGTCGGTTTCCTTTGAGAGAAGGCCGCTCCAAAATCTGTTGGGACTAGGGACGAGTTGAGTCAGTTTGGTTCGCCTTATATATATATATATATCATTCCTGTGGATCCATCAGATAAGTAGCCATCACAGGGTGACTGATATGGTATCTGTTTCTCAACTGCTGGATGGGTTCAGGATATGTCAGGATGACTTGATGTGGAGAAGAAACCAGATCCAGGGGAAGAAAGCAACTGTGGTTCCATTGTTTCACGAAAGCGAAAATAGCACAACTCCAGGGAGTGGAACCAGAAAGTGCTTCAGCGGACCCATCCCGCTTGGGAAATGGCAGGAAACCTGAAACACCACCGACTCTACCAAATTGGACACCCTGAATCTGACAAAATGGTTGGGATCCTTTGAACCTCAAATCCCACCTGCTTGCTGCTCGATGTCTGGCGGAAGAAGACCCGGTCGACGCCCGCTCACATCATCCGGGTCGACGTGCATCCCATCGGGTCGGATCACTCCACCCGCGACGCGACGTTCGCCGCCCCAGATATTTGGAGCAACGGACGCGCCACCGCGCTGCCCGGCGCATCCAATCCGCCACTGGGCGCACGATCGGTGCGGGGGTTGTGGGAGCACGGAGCAAACAAGCTCTGGGAGTGGCAGTGAAGGTATGCTGAAGGTGGGTGAGAGTGGTTTGAACAGTTCTTCTTTTGCAGAACCAGCAGGCACGGAATCTCTGATCGCTTTTTAAGACATAACTCATCAACATCTAAGAACTACAGCAGTGAATTTGGTGTTCATGGATGTTTTTCGTTGAACGATCAGCACACTTGTGAAGCAGAAGTTGAGACATATAGTATATATACGTTCCATACGCAGGTCGTTTTGATTTGTGGGGTGGAGACATGTCAGGACCCTCCTGCGAATCTGGGTTGCCCACACGTATCGCCCAAAAAGTTATGAGGACTCCAACAGCCTTTTTGGTTTGAAGGTCTTTGGGCGGGTCATTGGAGGGTAGTGTCCAAACTATTGTCAAACTATACCTTCTAAGGAGCCCTTCCAGACATGGTTCCGATGATGGTTTGGTGTTTTGGATTCCTAAGGAGAGCCATTCAAATGGTTCATTATGAGTCCCGTACTTCCTTGTGCCACTTTGCCGCATCAGACTTCTGAGCAAGCAGCCTCATGACCTGCCATCCACCAACTCACGCATCCACTTTCAGCCCCATCTTCCAGTACCTGTGTGATTTGCCGCGGAAACGATGTGCGACCGCCCCAGGGGTGGCAGACCTGCAACCTTCGCAGTTCCACACGGAGGGAGTTGTTGCGCCGCGAGGACGAGCAGCGCAACCACGAGCGTGTTCGTTCGCTCCGCAGCACAGCTCCGACATGCTACGACACATGGGGTGTGGGTGAAATTGAACCTCCAAACAGGATGAGCGTCCGGAGCTGGTCAGTTCGTTCTCTGAAACCAGGTGAACGGTTCCGGTCCGCGGGCGGGCGGGCTCGGTGAAGAAAGCGAAGGCCCGCCGCGGGTCAAGCGGTGTTTTTTTTCGCAGTAGGCCCAGAGGGGTGGATCTGGAGGCCATTGAAATTACTACACGACAAGCATAGAAGCTTTCCAGGGAGGTTGCAAACTGGGAAGCATCTCCTCACCTAGTCACTGAGCGGACGTGCAATAACCTTTCACCAGTCGGGATACACAATGTTCAGGCTCTTTTTTGTGTCCTCCTACTAGCAGCTATAGTATCGAACCTCGGTTGATCTGATTGTTGGTATGAACAAGACCTGACAAAGCCACAGATTTTGACTCTGTCATTGCTGTCCAAAAGTGGTGCCATGTCTCCAACATTCATTTCTCCCATCATCTCCCATCCTTGGCTTGACCCGCTTTTGACCATAGACAAGCACCCATCTTGGTGAATCCATTTGCTGCTGCTTCAGGAGGAAGACCGAAAACTCCAGACCATGATGATCTACCAACTGGGCCTTGACTGGTTCCAGGCATCGACTTCGAGTCCCGTTCTTCGTCCGTGACGACTCGTCCGTTCGTTCACTTCGCGACGACGGCGTTCGGCGTTCATGCGGATGGCGTTCGGTACGTCGACATGTACAGACCAAGCGTTGTAAGAACAGACGTTCGATGGTTCTTTCCACGAGGACCGAACGTAATGTGTGTTCAGAGTTTGGTACATATTAAAGTTGTGTTAGGGTGAGCACAGTGAGCATGGTTATACATATGGTCACCCTTTCTCCATATGGTTGCCTTACCTGTGGTTACCATATGATGATCTATCACAATTGGTTATATACATCATAATATAATATGGTTTCCCTGACTAGGAAGTGGCCAAGACTTCTGCATGCAGAGGAAAATGGCCTGCCAGGGGTTCATGTTGCACTTCCATGTTTGCTGAATGGCTCTAGACAGGTCCCATTTCGTTTGAAGCAAAGGGTGGTGACTAGTGACCACCAAACACTAGTGACGACCCGGCATACCGGGTCTTATATAAGTTCAATTCTGCAGAAACCTGGATGATTGTCATGACCAAGACTTCTTTGAAGGTGTTGATAGCCTTCGTGGCAAATGACACAACAAAAGGGGGGCTCACAGTTTGCAGCTACACCCAACGATGGACTGGCAGGCCAAGGGCATGCGGCGAGTGGAGGTGCACGTCAGGGTTGCCAAGGGTGCACGTCAGGGTCGACTTCGTCAGGGCTACATGAGAGGGAGATGGCTGGAGATGGCTGGAGCTTTCAGCTTTACTTGCTGTCATTATCCTGTCAACTGCAGAAAGTCCAAGATGACGAGAGGGTTTAACGCCCATTTGCGCCCAGCGAAATCCGTGCACCACAATCACCCAGATCTAAGAAGGCTGCGATGGGCCACAATCACCCACATCTTGGGAGACTTTGAATGTTTTTTTTCTGGTAGATGTATATATTATATACCAGGACCCTCCAACAGGTCACCACCTGCGACTTTTAAGTCTACAAAAGCCTCCAGGGAGACCTGTTGGAGGGTGCTGGTATTGATATATATATATATACCTAGAAAGCCAAGTTGCTGGAAAAAAGTGGGAACTGGCCAAAGTGATATGTTTTTCATGGTCGTGCAAAAGAGTGATGGTTCTACCTTCCAAGAGGCCCTCTGTAGAACACCTTCACTGTTCTAAACCGCCCACTCCCACAGATGGTGCCTTCATGACTCGAATATTTCTCACCAAACAGAGGCCAATCCGATCTTGTATATTGTATTATGTATTGTCTTTTTTTTTTGATATACCTTGACTCCTTTCCTTGCTTATTGTTATTTCTTTTGTTCCAGTTCCTTTTTTTCGTTTTCTCAAACCTTCACACTTTACTTCCTGAATCTCCGGGCTTCCGACCATCTGAGGTGTTGCCGTTTCAGATCCGACCAACTCCGCCTCTCGGATCGACCCCCACCGCCTCTCGGGTGGTTAGGATGGTGGATGTTTGCCGGTCGGCGGTGTCTCACCAGGACCCAGAGTTTCCGAGTAAAGCTCTAGAGATTTGCTGTCAACCCGGTGCTTCCGATGCTTGGTTTTCCGATGCTCTACGATCCTGAGGTTTGCTCTTTGAGCATCGCTGAGCATCGACGGAGCCGGATGGACAGCTACCAGGCGTGGGGTAGACATGCGTGACACATCATCAGATGGACAAATGGATACATACTGTTAGATACTTTTGACTATATCATCATTCACATTATGCCTGAGTTTACGTTGTTCATACGGTGGGTTGAAGCCTTGCAGGTAGAGGCATTCTTGGCAGAGGGTGATATTCCCTAACTACTCCCGAGGTTCTGTGGAAACCCTTGAGGCGACTCCACATTTTTTAGCAAGTACTGTACAGTTTAGACATATTTTGACAAACACTGACTTGCGAAAGTTTAACTTTGTATCACAGTCCTCACATGTTCACAACTTCCCAATACTCGCTCATGCTGCAATTGAAGTCTCAACATAAATCCAGCGAACATCACACATGTTGATAGGTCTTGCTGCCCATTGTGGGGTACAACGTACAACTTTAAGGGAAAATACAAGGTCTTCCATGGTTTTCTCTTTTCTCAACTTTTCTCCAGTGGCAGGTCCTGCAAGGTGTGCAGATGGCACGCATGTTCCGGCTGGCTGATAGCAAGCGGGAGCGTGGGGAGCGTGGGTGGGAAGACAGATGAAGGAGCTGGGAGGTCGTGGGGTGCAGTTCTCACTCTACTGGTAGAGGAAGCTGTTCTTCAAAAAGGTTCATGTTCCATGTCAATTGACCAGTTGTGCAAATTTGGGGATAAATAGCTGCATGGATGAGGAGTTTGCTGCAGTACAGTAGTCATGCTTGGATCCATTCTAAAGACTTTCTTGATAGACCTGAACACCACGCATCACCAGGCAACCATTCTATCAGCACCACCACAGGGGTTCAGCCATTTTCACGCAACGAAGGGTTTATCATCTCAGTGATCAGCTCAGTGCGGCCTCCAAGAAACAACGAGAAAGAACATGGAAGATCTTCTCCGCAAATTTCAAGGGGAAATGTCTTTGACACAAGATGGGCTGAGGGTTTTAGCTGCCTGGTTACTTACGTTTAGTGCGTTCGAACCTTGGGTTCTTTAACCTCACGTTTCGAGCCGTACGTTTCCATTTTTTGGAGCTCAAATGCGTTTTTGGAACTTCCTCATGCATAAACAGAAGAAGGCCATCGAACACAGAAGCATCCCAAATGCATGTTCAAGAGCCAGAAAAAACGCATCCAGTAGCGCCCCATAGCCCTATAGCTTGGACACAAACAATTCCCAAATGCATTTCCAAGAGTGAGAGAAAAGCATCCAGCAGTAGCCCATAGTTTCTTTTTTGAAAGACAAACATATTTCCGCAAAGTGGACCTCCAGACCACACAGATGCATTTAGCCGAGGACAGTAAATGCAGTTCTTTGGATGGGGCCTGGATTTTGGGAGGGGCTGTGCGTTGGAATACACGTGCGGAACCTTACGTTTTACGTTTTGCGTACCGGGGCGCCTAAGCTGAGGGTGTATGTAATAGTATAGTCGTACATATATTTGGATCACATATTTGCATAGCTCTCTCATGGTCCCAACAGGGTCACAAGATGTCACCAGGTCACCCGTGCCCGTCGCTTCGACGCAGGACGTCATCTTCGTGGCGCCCAAGCACATCCATGAGGCGCCGCCGCACGCGGCACGGTTCGGGGCACAGGAGTCATCCGGGCGTCGGGCGTCCACTTCCCAGACACACCTGGAATAATTACCTACATTGACTCCTGAAACCACGCCAATGAATGTAAGTAGAGTGTTTGGGAAAAGGATCCAAAACCCAATTTGCCAGGTGGTCCCGCATCTCTCTCTCTCTCTCTCTATTTGTGATTATTATCTATGATAATGTTTAAAGAAACACAATATATTATTGTTTGTGTTGGTTTTCTATTCGGTACTTTGAGCCTTCTTTTTGGTTGTTGTAGGTCTAGGATGTGGGCTAGGAATCCCTTCAGTCAACTCATCATTGAGGAAGGACCAGGAAGACCCCAATCTTGAGACAAGATAAAACATTGATTTGTCATTGTTTTGGTTAGGAGCATCAACATGGTGATTTTGGCTAGGGTAGGCGAGCACACATTCTTATTAATTTTGAGGTATTGATGCTACCTTATGGTCAGACCGGCCGGCAAGTGGCAGTCACTCCATGGACCCCGCCAACAGTGCGAGTTTGGAAGCAAACGCAGCGATTTGGTCCCGTTGCCAGGATGTCTTGGACTACTACTCCAAGATCATGCAGTTCCGTGGCATCCAGAACCCGCCGGGACGTTTTCAGGTCGAAAGCACAGTCATCGCAAGTTGGACACGTAAACTTGCTCGCATGAAGCCACGAACCTGAGAAAATGAGACTACATGTAGCTAAAACAGCTAAACAGTGTGTCATAGCAAGTATGGTACATGTGTCATCCAGTGTACAGTCGAACTGTTCGATGTGACACGACTCAGTGAGTCCCTTGTTGGATAAAGGTGGTGGTCCCGGAGAACATGGGCTTGAAGGACAAGTTCTCCTTGACCCAGGCGTCATATCGGGATGGCTCGGGGCGTGGGCAACGTTTCCTCAGCTTCAAAAGAGTCCGTCTTCCACTCGTCATGGCCGTTCACGCGAGATGAAACCCACGTGATAGCAGTGGGGAGATGAAGAGGTAAGGCAATGTGACTTTGCACTGAGGATGATCAACATGCAGTGCCTAGGCCCGCCGATGTTTAAATTGTATGTTAGATGCACCATGGTGGACATGTGCAGCTGGTGACTTGATGAGGGACCCCTTATCTTTATGATGTGACCAGGCTCTTCAGCTTTTCTTCCTTTTTCGTCTAAAAACCCAGGTCCCGACTCCTGACCCAACAGCCCCTCCGGGCGGGAGCTGAAAGCGGGGCCGGAATTGACTTCTGAACGGAACGTGGGACGGGAATTTCATTGGTGCAGACGGTGCAGGAGAGTTCTGAACTTACTTTGACATGTTTTTATACTTTGAGCCCCTTGCGATCCTGAAAGTTCCTTTGTAGGTTCCACTATCTTCGAGAGACCTTTACAGGGCAGAATTTCTCAGCGGTGGGTTTGACACCGGAACATGGTCCGCAACTTTGTGCAACTATTTTGGCCAGAATTGTGCTGACCAGCATCAAGCTGCGGATCCAAACCGAACCTTCATTTCAGTATCAAAGATCTGAATTGCAGTCGATTCTGCTTCGTTTGGAGGCCACAGTCTCAGCCCGGTGGATTCAGTGAATGAAACCCTTCGGAATCCCAGTGCCATCGTTCACCTCACAATGTAGACCTCCACATACTCCGTTTGCAGATGAACATGGAACAAAACCAGTGGCTTGGTATGCGGGTACCATCTGTCCGAAAGCCACGGATCAATTCTCAGGATCCATGCGGTCCGTCTGCAGAAGGGGATAGAATATGATGCAAAAAATTGGTTTTGACCGGCTGACTTCTTCGTAGACTCCACTGGTGCCAGCGAGGCCTTGTTGTGCTCCCCCAAGGCCAGAGATGAAGCGGTGGTGGGTAGACGGGGAAATCTGTTTGGAGATGGGGATGTTCCAATAAAGACACCCAAACAGTGCTAGATCTAGAGTTGAACACTGACACCCTGTAGTGTTCTTGTTGGTGCCCATCGGAAGAAGGGCAATTACAAGGTTTTGACACACATCTACCTGATTGCACACATGTTGGTTTCTGAGTTTTGCGCGGCTTTGCGTGTCAATGATTATCAATCCTTGAAAGTAAAGCGAAGGGGAACGCCGCTAGGTAATTTGTACATGTTGTACCATTGAAGTTGTCATAAACTCTCGGGAGGTTGCACGAGTGACATCCCAATGGACCAAGAATACATGAACTACATCAACCATTTGTTTAAACAGTTATACATTTACTATTTGGAGAACAAATGCAAGCAGTGCCACATCCCACTGAGATTGCTCAAACTCATCAAGCAAATGGTGTCTTGTTTTGATTGACATTCAAGTATATATGAGTATTATGTTGAATTGTTTGGTTAAAAGTATCTTCAGCAGAGATCCGCGTGTTATCAGGACTCCTGTCAATCTGGTCCACAGCGATGATTTGGTCAACCTGGTACACCCGATCTGAAGGGTGTGGGCCTCCACGTGCTGATCCATTTTATTCAATTTTGTATTGATTTAGTATGCATTTGGTATTGATTTAGTGTTGGTGAAGCATGTCCAAGGGGATGAGGACTGGATGATGGGAGGGCTTTCCGCCCAGTAACTCTCTTTAGGGTCAACCTCTATCTAGTGCCATGGGAGGTAGCCTCACTGAACCGATTTTGGATTGAGATTGAATCTGGATCCACCACATTTGATGTTCAAACGATTTGGTATAACGTGTTCCAGGTCACATGCAGCTAGTATGTTGATTCTAAATCATTGGTCGGCGGCTTCCCCTAAGCAGCATAGCAACAGCACATATAGAGGTCTACAGAAGCACATAGATGCAGCATATACCACATAAAAGCAGCCTCAATAGAGCATTGACACCAAATTCTCAGCCTGATCCAGGTCAATCCGGGTTTAGGGCCCAACAAAGTTAGCTTTAATTAGGCTGCATATTCAATTAGGGATTAGGTTAGCTTTATTCAGGGTATATTTATAAATCCAAGGTCGACAGGATTGATGTGTGACGCCCACAGCAAGTTCAAATCCCGTGGGCCGCCATTTGGGATTGAGCTCGAAATCTCGCCTGCCACGTCTTTGGTGTGTTTACTGTTCTTCATCATCTTTGGACCTGTTTGTATAAAAACACACCAATTTGCAGCATGTTAAAAACAGAAACACATCCAGAACTGGACAACATCTAAATGACCTGCACGTAACCAATGTCTTGGGTCTGTCCTATTGCCTTTCCACAGTCATTTTCCACGAGCATGTCTCTCGATTTTTAGAGAAAGGCAGTGGTTTAACTAGGCCCCATCATCAGCCACCGGCTTCCACAGGGAATGGGATGAGCTACCCAACAACGGTCCTTCAGATCCCTCCGCACCGGTGCAGGCCCTGAAGCGGATCGCCCGGCTGGTGAGCAATCGCTTGGCCATGCTGATCCCCGAGGTGGCCATGCGCGCGCAGTTCTCGGCGGAGCCTAAGAGATGGAGTGAAGATCCAGTCCATGTAGTGGCTTCAAAATCGAAATAGATAGGTAGTAGAGCGCCAAAGAAACGGATGGATGGATGGATGGCTGGCTGGATGGGTGGGTGGGTGGGTGGGTAGGTAGAATAGGATTGGAGAGATACAGATAGACTGAGACAGAAGGGCTTCAATATATATATATATATGATATTAAATTAGAAGAGTTAATCCCCTGTAAACGATTCCTTACAGCAAGCCATTATACCCCAAATGGATCCAAATGCCCAAGCAGGGTGTGAGAAGATTTTCCCCCAAAGGACCCCGAAAGACTGCGACCAAGTCAATGTTTGCCGCGTGTATTGCGCAAGAACTCAAAGGCAGGTCTCCTGGACATCAGATCTGAAGCAAATCACATGCACAAATGTTTCGAACCAGGCGTCCGCCCTCATGATGTCAAGCCCACCGTCCGTGTTGGACTCCGTGAAAGACCACCATGCTTCGACCATGTCCCGGGGATGCATGTTGGTAGGAGATCCGTGTCGTAGACGTCAACGTGGCAGGCCGTCACCCACGCAGAAGCCAAGCTGAGCAACACCTTGAGGCGAGGCTTTGGCGGGACTGGCATATTGGGCCCTGGGACTGCTGTAATCATCTACTCGTACTATATTCTGATATAGTACTGTACCTGCCAAAGAAATTGTTTGGTTTGGGGTTTACCCGGGAGATGTTGAAACGATCTAGTTTCAGCCCAGAGGAATTGAGGGGTTCAATGTTCAACAAAAGCTTCTTCCAACGAGTTAAGGTTAGTTCAGTTCCCATTTCCCCATCATTTCATTCTGGAACTATTGGAGTGCTGTAGAAATCTTTTGGATCCACTGTAAGTCTCCCGCAAGAACTTTTTGGGGCGGAACCAACCATGTGATAAAATGTTGCAACCATTTGCCAGTGATGCTTCCCACCATGTGGCCGCCTTTCGCCAGATATATGGTGTTCTGTTATTCTTTGGACTCAACTCAGAATCTTTGAAAACAGCCTTTAAGACGCCTCCTTCATCCTGAACCGACGACCTCCGATCGTCCAAATTGGGATCCGCCCTCCGACCGGCCTTCAGGCTCCCCTTGATCGGCCCCAGCGCGCGGAACATGTCGCTCCTGAGCTCCAAGTCCAACGGCAAGGCCGACGGTCGACGGTGTCGCGCGGGAGTGGATTCTCCGGTCAAACCGGTTGGTGCGGAAAAAGAAAAACAAGCGGCAGGCCTGCATGGGTCTATTTTTCTTGGCAGGCCGGCATGAGATCATTGAAGAGATTGTGAAAGTACTGTAGTATGTTTAGCCTTGACAAAAGCAGCAAAGCTCAGTTGAAAGGTTCTTATCTCTGTTTTTTTTCTAAGTACAGATGAAACAACGCTAGTTCTGCGGCTCTGCGTTGCGGACAGCTTGCATTTGTTGTTAGACACCTAGCCTAGACTCATCTAGACTCCACCATGCCATGTAGCCCCATCTTGTGAAGTGGAGAACGTGCAACCAGACCCCAAGCAGATCACCGTTCGGTGAATCGATCCTTCGGTCAATTCCCATCCGAAATCGAATCCATGGGACCATGGGAATGGAACCTTCCAGACCCGGATGGCCACCCGGACGGCCACCCCAAGTCATCCCACCCGGTCACCCGGTCACCTCCCAGAAACTGGCGCAGCTAGCGCAGCTGCCCGTGGGCCCCTGGGCGGTGGACATCTATGACGAGGCGAGCGGCTGTTGCGTGGTTAGGCTTTTGACGGATGTTCCAGCTTGACATATGGAGACATTTTTTGGAATACGGAGACCCTTCAGAACTTCAGCCGGAGTTTCATCCAAGTGTGAGAAAGGACCAGTGTATTGGGGTTGGGATCTCGGTATTTTTAGACAAACCCATATTTTGAGATGTTGATGGCTGAAAAAGCTATCCCTTCGCATGTTGCATGGTTGGACCACCCCCCCTTTTAGGAAGAACAGGATTCGATGCGGATCTTACTAGCTGCCTGCCGACTTTGTTCCAGGTCTTGTTGTTTGACAAGGTTCAGTTATCCACTCTTGTCCAATATTGTTTTTGATTAGAACGAAGTTGCGAGCTTTGGTAAATATAGTGAGGCACCAGTCATTTCTGAGACCTGGATGTTTAGCGAATCCCCACAGAATCACAATGTTCCAAAAGGATAGGGGATCAAGTGAAGGCAGTGGAAGCATATGGAAGCATGATCAAGGCGATTTGATGGTGATTAAGATCCAGCCATGGGGAAATGTGAATCTACTCGTGATAGCTTCATGTTTTCACCCAATTCTTGATTGCATGTTGATCCTTCGTATCCTCGGTCTTTCAAGGCCAATCTTTGTGCCAACATTGCTGTTCCAGTGGCTGAGAACAAGCGTGTCCTTGGCAGGATGAGTTCTATAACTCCCTGGCAGGCCTCGTGGTGAAGCATCCAGAGGCCTGTAGGAATCGTTCGAGAAATCAGAGTTGGCTGCACCCCTGACAGCCTACAGAAGCCAGAAATCAATGCACTGTCCGATGAGAGTCGAATGCCGAATGACCAATATTAGGTGAAACAGACGTACTGGTATATATAAGTCAGGAGTCAGGAGGTTGATGAAGGGCAGTACCACCACCCCACGAATCGGCAGTTTACTGCAAAGCTATGCAACATATTGACCCCACAAACTCCCTGTGACACTTCCAAGAGTTCAGTGAGGAAGCTTGAGGTCACACTTCCGTATTCCCATGAAGCTTCATACAAATTCGTCCGATGTTCATCCCCTTGGGCCCACCATGATCTCGCCCAGGACAACGCTCTCGTGCGGAGGTGTGTCCAGGAACGTCCTCTGTCACGTGTCACGAACGTGTCACGAACAGGTGAGGACGTGGCTTCTGAAGATCGATGATGAGCGAAACTCCCGGGGCACCGCCTACCTGGACCTGCAGAAGATCCCTCAGGCGAGACGAAACCTCCGGTCCGACCTCACACCGCGGAAACGGGAGGGCTGGTGACATGGGGTGACGAAAACCGCACGCGGATGCTTCGAAGAAAGCGAAGGAGAGAGACCAGAAAGCTGCTAGATGGTTCGGTTTGGTTCAGTCAGTTGCTGCACTTTTGATGCTGTGGGAGGTGACAGACATAGCTTATAGGATTTGTTTCTTAGTCTATGACCATCTTTGCCCACCGCGGCACAAAACGAAGTTCCATTGTGGATGGGCCAAATCAGTTGGTTGCTCTAAACATATGAACAACTGGGTCAGATGGCATTCCTTTCCGATGGAACATGTATGTTCGCAACTGGAGACCACGGTTGGCCCCACATGTCTTGGTCGTCTACTTGAAAGCCATCACTTGTTGGCCGGGAAGAGGAGACAACTGGCGAAATCAGGTCCGTAGATCCATTTGGTTGTCTGAAGAACCTGAGAGCCTATGAATATAATGTTTTGCACAGTGTTTTGATGCATATTCAATATTCGTTTGTGCTGCTCTGGGGTTTTGGTCCTTGTCCATTTGGGAGGAAACACAGATGTCCGGGTTTGAGAAGTCGGTACCAAGATGTACCAAGTGGATACACAGCCCAAACTCTGCGTTTAGGGTAATTTTCTCTGAGTTTCTCTCTCACTTTCACCATACAATAAGGATACAATATGATAAATTCAGTGCTAGAACCATATTGGGGTGCTCATGGACTCATTTTGGTGGGTATAGTTTAACCAGAGACTGCAGGCCCCAGACCTCGATAACTACATAGCACTCTTCAGCAACAGCACTTCGAGGTACTCAGGAGATTCATTCTTTCGATGCTGACCGCCACGAGGTGCAGAACGCGGCCTCCGCGCCAGCATTGCTGGGAGGCGAGGTGAGTCGCTATACACACGGTAAGACCGCAACAAGCAGGGGGCACATCTCAGATTGAGGAGTCCGGGGTCTCAAATCTTGAGTCTTTAGAGGTCTTGAGGGATTGTTGTGTTGTGGTTGTTGACCTGTCACCGAACAAAGATAGGTAGCACCTCGCACATTTTTTCCACCTCACAAATGGAAATGCCAACGTGCCAATCTTAGACATGTTTTGCACTGCTTCAAATGCCCCCCCCACTTTGGAAGTGTTCTCAATGTCAATATACAAATACAACAAAGCACAAGCAGAAAGAGGATTGAATTACTGTAATCCGTTGCAACAATCCAGTGCTTGGATCACATGATAGTCTATATAGTTTGGACATGTTTAGACTTAAGAATTGTTTAATCATGCATATATCAATTACATCATCTCCCAATCGCTCGAGCAACAAACATATGCATCCAAATTGCAGACTACTTGTCAATTTACCCCTTCAAAAAGATCAGATTGCGCAACCTGTCATAACCTGCACATAGTTCTTTACATACCACATACCATGACATACCTGTACATGATACCTGCATGTATACATGAACTACCCATTGTACATCTATTAACCACTGCCGCCCGGGACGCCTGCCACGGGCCTCGGGCCTCCGGCCCTCCCAGGCGCCAGCCGTGAGCAGCTCCACGGCACCGAGGTCTCGGTGCTGGGCGCCGACGCCATGGAGGACGCGGGGCGCGGGGAAAGCCGGTGGCGAGGTGTTTTTTCCTTTTGGGTGGTGGGTGGTGGGGGAACACACAATTGGGAAACAAGAAAGGTTTCAAACAATAATACAATAGACCATCAAAAAGCCTGAGTTGGGAGAGAAGATGAGTGAGTTGGGGGGGAGGTTGTTAGGTGAAGTATGGTGAAGTTGAAGATGCAGTTTGGGGTGGTTTGTGCGTGGTTGGGGTTGGGTAGGGGTTCAAACTGGGCGTTGGAGGGAATGGTGGTTTAGTTTAGTCGAGTTACGAGTTCTTCATGAAGTTCTTTATTAGAGTATTAGAGGACAGGTCTTTTCACTCGGCTTCAGCAAGCAGCCGATGGCCTATGGTTGTAGCATGTTTGGAATCCTTGTTGATTCTGTTTAGTGTTGGGTAAACTGTAGCATGTGGGAATTTGTAGAGAAAATGCTTGACTCCAGCACAGATGCTTTCGATTTCCACAACATCATGTACTGACTTGGACAATGGGTGATGTTTCTTTCGGGTATTAACTCAAGAATCGGTGGGTTCCACAAAGCCCCAAAGCCTGTGACGTTTTGACCGGCGAGTTGTGACCTTTGAGGTCCGTTCCATGCTTCAACACCTGGTGCCGAAGAGAGTTGTGCTGTGCAACCGACAGGCGCGAGCGAGTTGGGATGGTTTGTGCTGCAAGCGGTACCCCTAAGTGAGTTAGTTAGTTTCACTCCACCTTGGGCTTCATTGAATGGTTCACTCCTACACGTTGCCGGTTGGTTAGCTCCCGTTCTTGATGGTTCATGTTATTCACATAGTCAGTCACTGAGTCACTTTATTTTGTTGGCCAATGAGTTTAGACCGTCGCCCACCGAGGGCCGTCGGCCCGTCGTCTCCGTGCGCAGGTCTACAGCGACTTCAGCCATTGGCTGGCGGAGGCCTGCCGCATCGGCTGTGTGATCCAGGCCCGGCTGAAGCGGTCACACAGCGGTCATGTTTTTGCTATTAGGAACAAAGGCCATCGCTACTAGGGGCTCCTGGCCTTACTACTA